TGAAAAAGGTGGTGGTTATGATTGACTATCAAATTGTACGAGATGAATCATAGATTTATTATTTGACACATTTTTCTAATACGTTTAATTGACACGAAAGTTTGATTGACAATACAAAAAACGAATATGATGTAACTCGTAATAAAATATAAGTTATAAACTGAAAGTTATGGTGGTTTATGTATATGTATATGTATAGTTCTAGGTGGAGAAGTTAGGATAGTATATGTATATAGGTTATAGGTGACGGAGTTAAAGTATAAGAACATGGTATTCTAGAGATTTAGAAAAGTAATACATGAGGATTAATTATGTGTCGATGAGTAGGACCCTTTCTTAGGATGCTATGCTGCAATACACATACCACACTAACTCTCCTATGTATAACCTATATCTATCACTTTCTCATGATATTATGGTGCAATACATATATTACACTAACTCTCTTATGTATAACCTATATCTACCACTTTTCTTAGGATACTATGCTGCAATACACATTGGACATTAACTCTTCTATGTACGACCTTTATCTACCACGTATATCACCAACTGTATCTTACTCATTTTCTATATAATCAATCAACATTCTTATCAATTCAATGCACTAAAAAATAATGTTATACTGTGGATTCACGGTTCATTCATTCTCTTGTAATATGATCATAAACGATAATATTATATAATAGATTCATGATTCATTTGTACTTCTACAATTCAGTCATCCATTAACAGTCCTTCCCCTTTTAGAATTGTAAAGATATGAGTATGATGAATTGATATATTTGATGTATGGTTTAGATTGATGTAAGTTGAACATATAGTTGTTGTATATAAATTTTAGAAGCTTATTTTTTCTAGAGATAGACAATAAGTAGGTTATCTGTTAATACGTCTCTATACATTTTGGTAGGGATGAGTAAATTAATAAATAGTACGGTGTGAACATTAGTAAAAGGAAAGGTATTCGTTGTAGGTACAAAAAGGGTATGGATTTTCTTTATATGGAATGGTGTAAAAATGTATAAACCTGTCCCGTACGATCCTATAACCATCACTGTCTTTTCTTTGTTGAGAGCGTGTGGTTTTGAGTTTGTGGAAGGCTGCGTGCCAACACTGCATCAATAAAATTTGCTCCTACTTTAGAAATATATATATATATATATACGTAGTACAGCCACTTCTTCTTATCATTATATAGATAAAAAACCATATAATAATGGACGATTTCTATATATATATATATATACACACACACACACATAGTATAGCCGCTTCTTCTTATCATTATATAGACAGAAAACTAATATAATAATGAACAATTTCTATATATATATACACAACACACACATAGTACAGCCCACTTTCTTCTTATCATTATATAGACAGAAACCATATAATTATGGACAATTT